CTGTGAATGCTTTGACCGGAGGAATATCTTGACTGTCATCCCTGTCACTACAGAAAGGCAGTCTCGAGTGCGTTTATCAAAATTTAGTGTAAGCTGTTTCGCCAAAAAAAAACATCTCTATTACGAACTTAAGAATTCAGTGTGGTCAATCATTTATTAATTTTACCCTGCGAGAATCCGACTAAGGATTGCGTTCGTTATAAAGGGCACTAAGAACGGGATGATTTGTGTCGTAAGCGTAATTATTTGTCAGCCAAAACTGGAAATGAATATCTCCACTTTGGATTTGCGCAACGCTTCCCAAGTGACTAACTCTTCTAATTTTGCGATAACCTCCACATTTCTATCGTTCAGCTGGACCGTTGCGGTATTGTATGCTTTATTATTTGTCTCTACCCTGTTCATTATCATCGTTATGGTCAAACATTTTGAAAAGCTTACGGGTTCTCGCATTCTAATTTTTCACCAATTGATCATGGAGGCACAAGTAACGCCGTTCTACTGGCCAGTGAATTCCGTCCTCCTCCCAATTATGCATCCCAACTATTTCACAGTCACTAACGCTTTTTACCGGCATTTTTATTTTGGTTATGTCCTGACCTTAACAGCTTCCTGGTGCGGCTTAACCATTTTGGCGCTAAACCGCTTTGTTGCGGTAATGCGACCGTTTATCTACCGGCACTGGATAACACGACCGGTTATTGCGGTGCAAATAATTATCCCATGGTTTATTGGTGCCGCCACTACCATTAAATTTCGTGTTACGGACGGCTTCTTTTTCGTGCCAAAAAGCAGAACGTGCTTTGTGGAAACGGGACCGGCATTCCTGATTAGCTCAGTGTTTGGTGTTTATCTACCACTGCCGGCGCTTACTTGCGTCATATATATTGCCTTATTTATTGGAATTTCGATGACAAAGCACACAAAAAATATCACAGTACAGCCATCGTCTGTTAGCGGTCGCAATGTACCAATGGCTCTAGCGACAAATAGTTCGGAGACCAATAAAAGAAGTGAGCGGCGCGTTAATCGACCGAAGCGTAGCGAAGGTCCTTTATGTTCAGCGTTCATGAAAAATGTGGTGTCTGTCGGTCACCGCCATTTAATGCACACATGCGCGGCCTTCCTGCTATCAAATGGACACATGCGCGCTGGCCGTATATACTCAAGGCGCTTGCAAACTGTGGTGTCTGTCGGTCACCGCCACATAATGCACAATGCGCGGCCTCCCTACCTCCTGCTATTAAATGCTCCCACGCGCGCATACAGGCATACTTAGGGCGCTTGTAGACCGCGGTGTCCGTCGTTGAACGCCACGAACGTCGGTGTAAAATGTGATATGTGGCATCCATAGGCCACCGTCTCTCTTTATAAAGTGTCCTGAGGCGCGGTAGCTGTATTCATATGCAGTTGCTGTGTTGCCTACTGACATTTCAGAGGTATATTTCTTTGAAATAATTCTAAGTTTCCGTTTTGCGTTTCTATCTTTACACCATACCGGTCCATACGTAAACGATTGCATTGGCTCATCGGTCACCACCACCCCACTTAAAAACGTAAAAGGTGCAAGTCAGTTTATACTTGGAGCTTGCGACAACCATGAGTTTTTTTTTGGTTACCCATACAGCAGTATCCTTCTACCATTACACAATTTGCTGATAAAATAACTTTGAATGTTTGAACCGCTCCATGAACTTGAATACAAAGCCCGGAATACGGTAACAACTGCTCAGTGGGACCAGCGCAATACCGGCATGGGCAAGCTATCAAACCGCATTTAATAATCACCTAATGTAGAAAACTAGCTGTGGTTGTTAACCACATTATTGCACGAGCGCGGGCGCCAATACCACTGAGTAGTGGTACTGGGTTTGTGGAACTGGAAAAGTTAGCCGTGATGCTCTTTGTGGCGTCAGACAAATTTATGCTCTTGACGATCATTTAATGGCAGCACCTCGCGCTTCGTGCTCGGTGCAAATGAGCAAGTACCGGGTGGCTGAACAAAATGGCCCTTTGTTTGGTGCGGTGCGCTGGGTCGGCCCAGTGCTCGATTGAGATGATACTAGGTTTATGCGAAAGAGTAACGCCTACAGCACATAAAAGTTATGCCAAACTATTAGTCTAAAAAGATTTCTTTTTTTTCTGAATTATATTTAAAAAATGGGTGGAGTTGAATAATGTCCTGGAAGCAAAAACTCAAATTTACCTAATTTAAAATTAAAATTATAGATATTTAGCTAAGCATATTATTGCTAACCACGTTAGTGTTTTGGAACGAGGAACTGTTCATGTTTTCTTCACTGTAAAATAGAACGCCATTCCAGTGACCCTGTCTAGCCAGGGAGGGAAAGATTTGATGATCCCCATATTTGATCCTCGTGCAACGGGGTAGCAGGTCTTTTAAAAACAATTTTCAAACCATCGCTTCAAAAACAGTCCTGGGTCAAACCCTTGTTTGAAAGGCCAATCAACCAGTTGCCAGTTAAACCGACGTTTTGCAATGCACCCTGTCACGAGCAAAAAAATTGCAACTAAAATACCGAAAAAATCAGAGTAAAAAACTTACGAGTTTTTCGAAAAGTCAAAAAGTTGCTTTGTGCATAGTTCATCCAGCGCATGCACCATGCCAACAACTTTTTCCCTATTGAAAGAGGGTGTCCGTCTCTATCTTAACCAATTTAAAAATTTAAAATATCACTCACGGAAAAAAAGGGTGACGAAATTTTTTACTTTGCGAGCTGGGACAAGAAAAGTTTCGACACGATTTCAAATGACGCCATCGCCCACGAGGAACTTTCAATTTTTCGAAAACAACTTTGTTGTTTTCAGTAGCTAATAAAATTGTCTATCAAACGAGTCTAAACAGTCTGCCGTACGTCCAGTAGTCTGCGAGGGGCAAAGCAAAAATGGAGTATGCAAATTGTTTGGCCACCTTGTTTGGCCATTTTGTTCGGCCACCCGGTCTTTCGTCGGGAAGTTACCATCATCTACTGGAATGGTAACCGGGTAAAACAAATAAGACTTGAAGTTACCCGATTCGTCAAGAATGAAATTTGGAAAGTGCATTAAATATTGTCCAGAAAACTTCTACAGATGGTGAACTCATGCATCCGCCGGCAGTTGCCGTAACTGAGACAGCAATAATTTTCCTCGAAATAGGCTTTGGAGAAATTTTTAAATAATCCCGGCAAAAATGACTCCTCCAAATTTTTGCCATGTTCCGAGAACAGCGGAATATTTATATGTCTGGAGACCTCACCGTGATTTATCTTTGCATACTTCATAATCGTATAAATTTATCGCTACGCTTCGGTCATGCAGTGCCCGCCAAAAGCGAGTGCACTTTCCTAGTTTAGCTAAAGGACTGTGTGCCCTTTCGGTTATCCACTTGATCGGATTTGCCAGTTCGCCGATCTTCCTTACCATTGTTCCGGATGCCCAGACGCGATACCCATTTGCCAGACAGTGGATAACTTTCCTGTACTATTTGGGCTACCTGTCGACACCGGTAAGAACATTTTCTCGTTCGTTTCTCCTGTTGTTTACAATTTGATTTTGTTTCAGGTTATCATCGCCTTAACGAATGACGATGTGAGAGCGATTGCACGGAAGATACACTACAGTTTGTAGTGTCGGCCTTGAAATACTGAATTCCATGCAAATTATACCAGTTACATGCAAGCCTCGTGAGAGCGAGGCCCCGTCATTCACCTTCAGTGAATACCGGTGTCTGTATTAAATAGGTATTGCCCGTATTGGACCGTTCGCATTGAGTCCATAAAAGTTTTTCTCCGTAAAGAGGTTAAAGCGTTAATCGGCAACTTGCAATCAGACTATTCAAATATTTACTTTCTTTTAGTTAAAACGGTTTTTTTAGTTCATGAAAAATTGGCAGCTGCTTAGTCTCATGCAATGCAATTTTTGTGAAGTAACGCACGGTAACGCTCGGTAATAGTGGCAATGCTAGCGACGGTAACCGTGGTAGCAGTTCCGATCTTTGCAGATCTTCTGCAGCAAAGGTCACCAAGTTTTTTAATGGTAGCGGCTGAGTGTAACCTCAGCCAGGGCCGTAGCGAGGTCCGACGTATGGGGAGTGCGCAAATTAGCTGCGCCAGCTGCGCCCGTTTTAAAGTTCGGCCAGCGCCCACTGCGCCCTTGGATTTGAAAGCCTGCGCCCGTTGCGCACCCCTATTCCTCGGGCTTCGTTTCAACCCTGCTCCCTTTGGAGAGCAGTTCAAAGTCTACTGTGTGCCTAATTGCCAAATTTACAAAAATTTTATTCAAATTTAACACGGCATTGCGCATGCGCCACGGGCGCACTGGTACCGGCGCCCGTTGCGCCCTTAAAAAATCTCTTGAATTTTGCGCCCTTGCGCCCATACGCCAGTTTCGGGCGCAAAATAAATTCACAAGTTAGCCGAGGAGGGGGGTGCGTGCGCCCGTGCGCACCCCCCCTCGCTACGGCCCTGACCTCAGCCAATATTAAGCGTAACACCGGACCGATATGCGCGGCAACCAATAAGAGTTCAAACTTCCAGTAGTCAGGTTTCAGTTTTTAATAGTTTCGAAGACTCCGCTGTGAGAATAAACACCGAGAGAGAAAAATCGCTCCCTTAGAAATGTTCATGATTTTGAAAAAAAGCCAAACAATTTCCTCTAAACATACGAGTATATTTACAACATTGGTTCAAAGGTCTTAGAAAGTTGTTGATTTTGATGAAAAGTTGGTTTCCGGAGTATTCGATTCTTCTACCTACCCCTATTTTGAAATATTATATCACTATTGACATAACAACGCCTACCGACCAATCAAGATGCTTGGTTTGCGTTGATTAAACACTTTATACTTTTACCTTCTGCTCTTCAAAGATACGTCATTGATACACTGTTTTTCTGTTCAGTTTTTCAACTACAGAGGGAAAAATGTCGCATTAAGTGCGAGAACCAGCTACAACGGCGTTAGTCACACGATAAGCGTGTGAATAATGATTCATATGAGTGGTACAATAAAATTCCAAGCAGCACCAAACTAAAGCAGGAGACGGTCCGTAAATCATTACATACAAATCGATACAGCAAGAAATCAGACAATAATGGCAGCACAATGAGCGTACCATTCAAACATGAATCGAAAGCAATAAAGATCTGTACACAATACCATTCCACAACAAACCTTCTCCCTTACGAACCGCCTATTCGCAACCAAATGCTCGGCCATTCGCTCTTGTATCGCGCTACATTGCGCCGACGTGGGAGTCTTGATTAGCCGCCTGCAGATCCAGCTCGGCAACCGTTTTCCGAATGGCTGTCATGTACTGTCGGATCTGTTCGGGGCGGAGCGAGTCCAGCATGGCGGTGATGTACTGACCTATATGAGCAGCCAAACCAAAACTTTTCCGCAATGATAATTGAAAAACGGTAATCTTCCACTCCCACAAGTGTAATAAACGTTTTACCAACACCTTACCAAATTTTCCGGTGACATCCTTCCCAACGGTTCCCGCATCATCGCTATTTTCCATCCGAGAGGGAGTCGGAACGACCGCAGAAGGACGTGGAAGTTTTGCGACAGAAAGTGCGGCCACTCGTGGCAGTCGGCGAGCAGGCGGTAATGATGGAGCTGCCAAAGAAGCACGATGATTCGGAGCCATTTGGGGCTTTCTCTTCGCGAATCGGCTGAGATCAATCATGGCCTTTCTCTTCACATTTTTCTGCTTGCTCACGGCGCTCAGAGCCCGCTTAATGCCACCTACAGCAGAAGCCAGTTGTTAAAGCACGAGGAACATCACTCACAAAACTAACTTACAATTTCATTTCCAGACAGAAGCTAGTTAAGTGGCTGAATGCAGAAGTAGAACATTCAAAACTGAACACGGCTACCAATCTGAAACGTAAACTGCCAGGGGAGGATGACGAGTGCACCGCCCCGTCCTCCCAACATAAATCTATCACTACTCCGTACTCTGAACAAAATCGTAAAATCGAAAAAACAAGAATCTAAGCTAATCAAGCGGGTAAATTACAGAGCGATGCAGCTCTGGAAATAATGCAAGCAATGCAGCAGCAGGTTTATCATTTGTTAATCGCTATCACACCGCCACATCAAAGGGGAGCTCGATTTTCATCCAATTAGGGTGGGTGCACTCGTTATCCCTGCCCCTAGTACCTACTCCAAAATATGAAAATGTTGACAGCAAAAAAAAACCGCTTATGTAATACCGGATTAGGAAGCGTAACAATGTGACAGAATTTCAGAAATTTTTCCTCACAGCATGGTTCTACGAGCACTCTATTGTTTCTAACATATGCCCACCAAGTCATCAGGACCCACCAAGTCAGACTAACAACACGGCGCTGGGCCACGAACCTGACTTGGATTTGCTGCTGGACGCCAGCACCGCGGTCGGTTCTGACTCCTCCAGACAATCCCGCTCCTTCTCCTCCCTTTCCACAGCCAGCATGGGCTTGTCTTTCAGTCGACCTAATCGCTTCTCGGGCGTCTGCACCACCTTAGTCCCACTACCTGGCAACGCGGACGGCTCCGCAGGCCCCCCTGGCTCCTGCTGCTTGTTCTTGTCCTTAACGGGTCCGTGCTTGTGGGGCGCGAGCATGGTGGCCACCTCGTCGCCCATTTCGAGCCTGGCGTTACATCTATCACGTAGACGGCAGCGCCATCGATTGTCACGACCACTATCCCGTAGATATTCATACCCTTCCAAAATCAACAGGTCGCCACCGCTTCTGTTTTTCAAATACACGGGAACAGACATGTTGCTACGATTCCAGCCGTTTCCACTTATCACTGTAATTTAACTGGGAAAAAGTTGAGAACTTCTAAATCAACAAAAATTCGAGCAAAAAATTGCGAGAGTTTATGTAAAACAGGAATACTGATTTACCATGAGTTGTACTTTGGCCAGGTTTTGGCTGTCTGTTGCAAATTTGAAAATTTGCATTTAAACTTTCGAGGCCCAGATCGGGATTTGCGCAGCAGACTATGGACTGTAAGCGCTAAAAATGGAGCTTGTCGCAAAGCTGACCGCTCGGAAAGCAAGTAAAGCGGAAATATCGCTGCCAGCTGGGGCCGCCGTACGGCGTTTCCGTGAACTAACTTAAGCATGTCACATGTGTGCTCAAGCAGATTCACTCAATTTTACGGAACTTCAAGATGAAAGAGTTTTGCAATTTCTGAGTTTCTCCAATTCAAGATTTACATACGAAATATTCTGATTATTCTAATCTGATAGTTCCATTCACTGAGCAGCCGATAAAATATCCAACAATGCCCAATACTCCGCCGTCAACCATGGCTTCAGGTTCACCAGATTCTGCGTGGAAGCTAGCGGACTTCATTCAGCAGATGTGGCTGAGCGGGGACCTGTTTGATGTGCACTTCACCGTGGGCCGCGAGTTCGGTCAAACTAGGGACTTCGCCGCGCACAAGTAGGCCTACCTTGGCACTGACACGGCAGGCGACTCTTCGCTTCGGTTCTGGAATGGCCCTGTGTGGATTCTTGCAGGTTCGTCCTCGCTGCTCGCAGTTCCGTGCTCCGTGCCATGTTCTACGGCAGCCTATCTGAGAAATGTGAGACCGCTCTCGATATCCCGGACATCCATCCAGAAGCGTTTGGAAATTTGCTCAGGTAATGCGACTGTGAGAAATGAGAAATTATGCTATATGACCGATTTGAGTAGTTTCGTGCAGTTTCTCTTGGAGAGCCACTCGTATGCTTGTAAACCTTCTCAACAGTCAGTCAGCGCTGTATTTATATTAATTTTTCTTGGCAGTTGAAAAATTTGGCTGATTTTTGCCCGAACCTGGGCAGCAGGTTTGTGTGTTTGTTGCTGTGCCGAAGCGTCCGTTTAAACTTGCACTGTTTCCAGTTTTGCCTACGCTGATACTGTGGAAAATCTCACCGATGACAACGTTCTCGCGACGATGCGCTGTGCTGACAAGTACTATATGCCGCAGCTGATGGCAGTGTGCTCCGAATTCCTCGTCAGCCACCTTAATCTGGAGAACTGTCTGGCCTTCTTGGACGAGGTTTGTCTTTGCTGCAGCGCACAGTTTATGATATTTGTAAATTGTAAGTAGGATGAAGGACGATCACTTTGTTGTTGCTGTCGGTTTTCCAGGCAATCCAATGGCATGCTGAGGGTGTGGTGCGCCAGTGTCTGGAATTGGTGGATGTCAAGAGCTACGAGATCTTCCAGTCGCAGCAGTTCACGGCCATCAGTCCGGAGGCACTGCAGATGATCCTGCAGCGCAGCACGCTGATTGTGAACGAATTTGTTCTTTATCTCGCTACGGAAAAGTACGGTTTTGTAGCAGTTCATGGGAGGCGGAAAAAGGCGTTTAAGTTGTAGCAAGCCAACCTAAAAGAAATTCAAATTTCGTACATAGGACGTGCACGCTGTCACGTGCTCAACAATGGCGCCAGTTTGGAATTTGTTATTTTTATACAGGAACGTTCTTTAACCTTCTTTTTAAAGATGGACAGCGCTGCAAAATTTCTCTTACGTCTGGTTATTTCTTGAAAAGAAGGGTAGTTAGTGCATTTTAACGTTTGAAGCAGGTTTCTGCTAAAAGGTTAAAAGAAAACCTAGACCTTCCGGAAACCTAGAAACCAAAGAAATAATTACAACAACCATTTTATGCCGTTAAAAGTTTGTTTCGTACAAGGGTTGTTCATCTACTGCGCAGGAAAATACAGGGTAAATCGAACGTGTACATTATTTGTCCGAGTCGAAATGCTTATAAATCGTAAACATTTCGACTCGGACAAATAGCGAATACCATACACTTTCGATTATGTGCATCGCACAGTAAGTGGTAATGCACGACGGTGCATTTGCCGCTAGCGCATCGGGGTACCAGAACTTCTGACACAATGCTGTTTATCTCGCCAATGTTGATAACACCTGACTTGCTGGGACAGTCACAGTACGACGCATGTGTGCTGCTTACAGATGGGCCGCGGCGACCTGTGCGCGGAACAACATGGATCCATCCGGCGCCAATCTGCGCCGCATGCTGGGCGACGCTGTCTTCCTTATTCGATTTCCGTTGCTGACTCGTACGCAACTGGCTGGTGGCCCGGCCTTGGTGAGCGGACGTTTAGCATACTAGAAGATGAAGAACCAGCGTATTTCAACAGTTTGTAATTCACAGAGAGGTCTGCTGAGTGAATCGGAAATCTCCAGCATCATCATGTACCACCGTGAAGCCGTCCCTCCCGTTTTCCGCGGAACGGCGTGCGGGACCCCGCCCGGCACTGGATCCGCTGATGATCCAGTGTGGGGACAATGTTTTCATCCGCACCGCCGAAGGAGACGTTTGGGAGCCCGCTAGAGTCGTGCGCTTCACTCCTCCGTTACAGCTGTCGTATATACGGTATCGGCAGGGTGAAGGCCGCCTCGGCAGTGTTACGTTGGACCGGGTGCTGCGAGGCGCGGATATTCTGGAGCATGGACTGTCTCTGCAAGTGGGCACCCTCTCCATGGATGGATACCAGGATGGCACGTATGACAGCACGGCGGGTAGTGAGCATCGGGCCAACTGCAACGGGCAGAGCGTTGTTGTTCCGTTCTACTGTTTTCGGCTGTTGGACCATCAGGTCGTGTCATGGAAGACGATCAACGGGAAGATTTAACGAGCCTGGTCGATGCTGATAATTTGTCACTGATAGAATGTCAGAAAACGAATAAATAGTATATATGATCAAATTTATATAACAGTACTGCTTTCATAAACGATTAATAAAATACAAGTTTACGATTTGTTTTACATGCGATTAGTTTACATACAATATTTGGAGCTGTGCATCAGCATGCGGTACTGAAGCACAAAACTGTATGTCAAACCCATCATAATGCAGTAAATACAGTGAACAATAGCCGAGATTATACGAGCCGTATTAATGCCGTGTCCTGGTGCGCATAAAATATGGGGCGACTTTCGTTCTCCATTTACGCAGTACGGCAATTTCTTCGAAATGACCTATTGCGCGAGCTGTCACATATCTGGATCTCTCTGTTAAAGCTGGAAGGCGTTCCCTTTTTTCATGATTGTATTATGGCTTTTATGGGATCGGGTTTCCGTAATGCCTTGTTGTACGGTCGTCACGCTCAGATTGGCACTCGTTACTCGTAGTCGTACATAAGTAAGTACTAATAAGAAAACATGGCCGATCCCATTTACAATTCTCGAAATTTCCTCCACGCTTTTCAGCCTAAGGAGGGGAATACAAAATTGCCATTGGAAATGGTTTAGCTGCGCAAATCGTTATCCGATCACCACGAAACGCGAGTTACGTCCTTTTTGTCTGAAATCCACGGGTGCAAATATGAATAACATTAGCTTGGAAGATTATCTGCGGAATGTCTCGCAATCAAGGAATTCTTCTACGTTTTCAATAACGCCGGCGTTTTTATCGTTCAGTCTTACTGTGGCAGTATTGTACGGTTTTTTACTAATGTTTTCCCTTTCCCTCATTACCATATTCGTTACGAATTTCAAGAAGCTTGTGGGTTCCCGCATTTTGATTTTCCATCAGCTGGTCATAGAGATTCAAATAACTTTATTTTACTGGCCGGTGATTATTGTTCTCCTTCCGTTAATCCATTCAAATTATGTCACGATTGCCAGTACGTTTTGCCGGCATTTCTTCTTTGGTTATGTAGTCACTTTGTACGCTTCCTGGTACGGTTTGCTGATGCTAGCCATAAACCGTTTTGTCGCCGTTGTTCGACCGTTCAGCTACCGGCAATGGATAACACGTCCCGTAATTACCGTGCAACTGATCCTCCCGTGGTGTATCGGTATCGCTATCTCTCTTCGAAATCGTATAGCATCAGGTGGATACTTTTTTCTGACTAGAACCAGAACATGCACACTGCAAACCGGGCCGGACTTCATGGTTAGCACAATCTTTAGTACATATTTGCCGCTGGCACTGACTTGCGCGATGTACTTTGTGTTATTTGTTGAAGTCTCGGTAAGGAACCGTGCCAAAAATGCCTCAGTACAACCATCGAGCGACAGTGCTACAACCGTTCGGTCACTACAAATAGGATCAAATAGTACGCGTCACCCTAACAATAAGCTAAACCAGCGTCGAATTAATTCGGCGAAAGGACTGTGTGCCATTTCTGTTATTCATTTTGTGGGATTCGCCACGGCACCGATCTTTTTAAGTGTTGTTCCGGATGCGCCCACACGGAATCCTATGGCGTGGCAGTAGGTCGTTATCGCTTGTACGAATGATGAAGTGCGAACGATTGGACGAAGAGCTTACCATGCGCTGTGCCGCTGTGTGCCGCGCATCAATTAGAACTGCAGGAACAATGCTTGTATGGTTATGACCGTGGATCCTGATCTCTATACTTTAAGAGCACACTTTCCTTTCGGCAGATTTACGTTTACATGTGCAGATTTACTCTATCAAAATTATTAAAGTTTAAACACAGAAAGACATCCACATCCAAAAACCGACAATGTCATTCGTAATTTTAGAGTGTGTATTGTCATGTAGACGTTACAGTAGGGCTTCCGCACATGCCATTTGCAATAAAAAAATAGGTAAATGACTAAATGATGCTATGCGACAATATGCGCCCCGGAAATCCGCCCGTAAACCAAAATTCTCTGCGCGTCCCGGCTCGGGCCTGGCCACACAGGCGGTAATGGGCAGAATACATTTTTTTGTCTATTCCTGGCGCAATTTATCGTCCCTATATAAATAAACAGAACTCGGGTGCACAGCCGAATCGCTCCGCGTTCTGACCGGAAGCAAAGCAAGCTTATTTTGCTGCCTGATTCGGGACGCATAGCCAATTTATTCTTCGCTCTGGTTGTCGGGATGCACAATCATTTCGTTAAATAAATATTCCTGAATCCTGTGTAATCAGATTAGTGCTTGTTTGAAAACGCTTATTATAATGTTTTGAACGTAACTGTTTCACTTGGGTCATTACGCAAGTGTACACATAAGCGCCTGCGGTTAAATAAAGCTGACGCCAAATCCCATCATAATGAAATAAATGCAGTGAAACATGGTTCAGAATTTATTGGCTTGTCCGGAAAACTTAAAATATGCGGGCGCGCTGCTTTATCTTCGTTCCCCATTGAGACAGCAATTCTGTCAAAGAATCTGTACACTGCACAATTATAATTCCTATTGGGCATTTTCCTGCGAAAGCTTTAAGGCGTCTTCATTCGTTCGTGGATTGCCTCATGGCTTTAATGGAATTAATCGCCTGTGGGATAATCGTATTCCGGTTGGTAACATCAGCAGTTACAAGAAACCCGCCGATCCCATTCAGCGATGCCGATAATTCACACGTGCTTCCCATTCGATGAAAAGCAATACATTATACCATATCACAGGAGAACAAATCATACGTTAACTAAGTAGGCAGGAAAACCTGCCTGCTTATTTTCCAGACTTTAAGCATTGCTGCAAAACTCCGAACTTCGAAAATGAACAACCATACCTTCGACACTTATCTGCGGAATGGCTCGGAATCCGGGAACTCTTCTACGTTTTCAATAACGCCGGCATTTGTCTCATTCAGCATTACCGTTGCAGTATTGTACGGGTTTTTGCTGACCTCTTCGCTTTCGCTTATTATCATTATGGTGAAAAACTTGGAGAAGCTTACTGGTTCCCGCGTTCTGATTCTCCACCAGCTGATTATGGAGATTCAGATAACCACATTTTACTGGCCAGTGAATGTCGTCCTCCTTCCGTTAATTCACTTAAATTACGTAACGGTTACCAGTACCTTCTGTCGGCATTTTTTCTGTGGTTATTCAGTCACCCTGCAAGCATCGTGGTACGGGCTGCTGATGCTAGCGATCAACCGTTTTGTCGCCGTTGTTCGGCCGCACAGCTACCGGCAATGGATAACACGTCCCGTAATTGCAGTTCAGTTAATCATCCCGTGGTGTATCGGTCTGGCCATCCCTCTTCGGAATCGTATAATATCTGGTGGATACGTTTTCATTGCCAAAACCAGAAGCTGCACCGTGCATACCGGACCGGATTTCATGATTGGCACCATCGTTATTGCATATCTGTCGCTGTCGCTGACCTGTTCGATATACGTTGTGTTATTGGTTGGAGTCTCCGTAAGAAACCGTTTCAAAACTGTGTCGATACAGCCGCCCAGTGACGTGGCTACAGCTGAACGGTCGCTGCAAATGGAGTCCACCGGAAACAATATTGGTCGCATCAAGCTCAACCAGCGTCGAATTAGTTCAGCTAAAAGACTTTGTGTCCTTTCTATTATTCATTTTGTGGGATTTGTCACTTCACCAATTTTTGTGAGTGTTGTACCGGATGCGGTTACAAGGTATCCAGTTGCCTGGCAGTGGACTATGTTGGCGTTATACCTTGGACATTTATCCACACCGGTACAGCTGAAACTGAAAATCTTGTTAATTAAGAGATTTCGGTAATTCTTGGTGCTTTAATGTTGATGTTGCAGGTTTTTGTCGCCTATGCAAATGACGATGCCAAAAGAATCGGAAGAAATGTGTGCCGTACTTTGTGTCGCTGCTAAACTGTATTACATCATACCATTTGTTGATGGTTTCTTAGGTTCCAGATTCGCTTCGCTTAGTAACATGCTAACATCTATTCAAAAATAATTTTCGATTGCATCAAACGGGTATCCTGGCTCGGTAAGATTTATGTTTACCCAGACTATGGGTATCTAGTGACTCTTGGTAAAACTTTGATAAAAACGTACTTTGTAAACAAATTGTGTTTGTCAAATAACATAAACCTTTTTTAATGATATTGTTTACGCTGACATTAAAATTGCTGAATACTGCAGGCAAAGACGCACGTTGTTCATGCAAATTTATACAAGCCACGTCTACACGCTTATGCACAAGAGTGGAACACAAAACATCTTAATCAAACAATCACGCCACAATGCGTACGCGTACAACACATAAACAGTGCAACTTCAAAAAAAGGTACGTAAATTTATATTCAAGTTAGCGTTGTAAGCGCTTTTTTAAATAGAGTAGAGCGACTAATACTGAGGCTAAATAGGCTTATACGAATGTATATATATCGCGCAGAATTAGCAGGTTATGTCAGTTTGTTGTAAATTGAAATCAGTCGAGGAAAATAACAGTTTACGTCAATTCCCATCTCCACCCAATAAACCTAAAGCGAGATACAATAGTATTCCGATATTTTCTGGGAAGCATAAGTTATGTGGGCGGCAGGCTTCTTTCCAATTTGAGGCAGAAATTCTTCCACCGTAAATACATGTAGTGCGTTAGCTGTTTCAGATATGACATTTTCTGTTGAAGCTTTCAAGTAATTCCTTTCTTTCGTGAATAACTGGAATTAATTTTCTGCATTGCTTGACAATGTCATACGGTCGGCGCGCTCAGATTGTTGCTCGTATCATTAATAATAACTCTAAGAAAACATCGCTGATCTTGCTTACAGTTATTGAAATTTCTTGCACGCGTTTCGATCTACGAATGACAATGCAAAACTGTCATTAGAAATGGCTTAGAAACGCAAATCCTGATCTTCCTGTGCATTCTCTACTCTTTCTGCTACACTCTTATTCACGCATTGCTCTGGTACCCCGTGCTTAAAAAGGAAAAACTTCAGCTCGGAAGATCATTTGCAGAATGTTTCCCAATCGGGGAACTCTTCAATGTTTTTTATAACGCCGGTATTTGTATCGTTCAGCATTGCGGTTGGTGTATTCTACAGTTTCTTACTTGTTTCTTATCTTTCTCTTATTATTATAATGGCTAAGAACCCGAAGAAGCTGACGGGT